GAAGAAGCACCGTGTCTAGCGCATGCGTGATAGTATCTGTATGTATGCGAGCAGCGCCCGCCCGTAGAAACAGGCCTAAAGCTGATGTCCTACGGCAATGGAGGGGTCTCTGCTGGTAGCCGGGATTACTGTTTCAAAGCAGAAAACTGGTGAAGAAAATTGAGTTCTTATAATAAATTCTGTAACAGCAGCTTAGCTGCAAATGATTTTTTAAAAGTCACTTGACTGTGCAAACTGGTTAGAGCAGAAATATTTTACTGATATTTCAAGAGCTTAATGTCAACCATCAGTGTCCAATAAATGAAAATTACTTTTAGTGATACATCTGGAAATATGATGGTGTTCTGAGCAAAATTCTCTCAAGCTTTGCATAAAGTCCGGATTTTTATTTTTATTCTGTGCCTGTTAATATAAACTTTTTATATTTGTTTGAGGTAGAGAAGATAGATTAGACATTAGTTTGGATATTGAAAAATGGGTAAAATTCTAGGACATGTTACATTTATTACTTATTAAGAGAAAGAAAGCAAATAGTTTATTTAAGGAAAACAATTTCACATAAAGTAAAGGCAATATTTTAATAAGCAGAATGGGACAGGAAATATATTTTGAGATAGAAGCAGAGTCACTCGAATGAAAAACATAACGCACCAGTGCTGCTACTTTGAAGGGGAACAAAGTGATTGGAACATAAAATTTTGTTATGTTCCTGCAAAATCTGACTTTATCTTTTGCCCTATATGCTTATACATTTAACTAATATATAGAGAGCATCTCCTTTCTGCGCTGGAGTAGTACGAGGCTTTGGTGATATTGCAGTGAAGATATAGGACTACCATTAATTGCCAACAATTAACTCCTGGGTTCATATATTTGGTGAAGTGAGGGTTCCATCGGTGTGCAAAGCTGAAGTGACAATGGTTTCAGCAATGTCTCCTGTGGATGAGGACTAGCAGACCTCAGCAAGTGGCTGCCGCATCATGGAAAACCTCAGCTGCTTTGTTGGTGCTCTGTGGTTTTGGCTGGGAGTATATCCCGCCTTCTGAATCTTTCCCTTGGCATGACACATCTGAGATATACAATGCTGTGTATCAATAGTCTGCTCTTTTTACTGAGTAGCATTCTCTTCTAGGGAGGCATTACAGTTTATTTCTCAGTTAATAAACTCAGGGGTTCTTTCAAGATTTTAGAAATAAAATTGCCAAAGCCATTTTTGTTTGTACGTTTCTGTATAAATATAACTTTTTCATTTCACTTGGATAAATACATAGGAAGAGACTGAGTAGTGAATTATCTGCTTTGATGCACATTGAACTTTGTAAAATCTGTGAAATTATTTTTATTCTGGCCGTACAACTCTACCAGCAATGCATGAAGTTTTAGTTGTGTTCTCATCAGCACTTGGTATTGTTGGGAACTTTTTCATTGTTTCCTATCTTTTTTTTTTTTTTTTGACTTGTTTTATTTCTTTCTTCTTTGTTTTGTTTTGTTTTGTTTTGTTTTGTTTCTTGAGACAGAGTTTTGCTATGTAGCTGAGTCTGACCTTGAATTCACTATGTCGCCCAGGCTGACTTCAAACTCAAGCCAATTCTTCTGCCTCAGCTTCCTGAGGGCTGGAGTTAGAGACATGCATCACTACACCTGGCTCTTCTTTCCTTTTTAATAAGCTACTCTAACAGATGTGTGGTACTAATTTGCTGTGGTTTCAATTAGCACTTCACTAATGGCTGATATTGAGCATCATTCTATGAGATGTTTATCTTCAGTATCTTTGTTAGTAATCTTCTGAATGGTTTGCCAACTAACAGTGTTTGGTTGTTGGATTTCTTATTGTTTGGTATTGGAGGTTCATTGTACAAAACATCTAAGAGTTCTGTGTCAGATGTATGACTTTGTATTTTCTTCCAGGCTACACTCATTTTCATTCTCTTAGTAGTGTTTGCAGAGAAAATGGCTTGATTTTTGCAAAGTCTGGTTTATTTCCTTATTTTCTTACAGACTGTGCTTTTTACTTTGTATCTTAAACTTTTCAGTTTTGGATTTTTATATTAAAGGTAAAATTTGTGAAGACCAAAAAAGGACAAAATTTTCCTAGCAATAATAAATTATCTACTAAATATATTTTAGCTATAGCTTCTAAATGTGAAATCAAACAAACTATCAGATAATTTATATAGGAACAGCTAAATTATATTTAAGAAAAAGGAGACAGAGACCTAATGGTAACAATTTTTTACAACACAAAACTATAGACTTTTGGATCTTATACAAATACTACCATGTAAAACATAAAAGAAATGCTTGGTGGGGGTTTCACATCACTACTTGTTTTCTCATTTATTTATACAATTTACATTTTTTATTGAGCACCTACTATGAATGAGGCATTATGCTTTACATGGGACACACAGGAGAACATACTAGGAGACAGAAATTTTGATAAGCAAATCAACAGGTCACCAAATAATTCAGTAAGGACTATGATTGATACATGTTCATCACCCTGCTTCTTCTAGTACGCGGTACAAAAGTAGTGGCTTCATCACGCTTACTTCCGTTTGAAGTTTCTTGTGTGCCTACTTGATTGAAAATCTGTCTCTCTCATGCTGCAGGAGAAGAAATGCAAGGTGTGTTTTATGATCATGCCTGGCACATAGCAGGATCTGGATTAATAGCCATTGCCTAGAAGCCATCGCCTGCTCCTGAAGTACCCGGGGAGGAGTTGCTAATTCTGCCCCTGGCAGTTTTGGAGATTTCATTAAAAAGGTGACATTTAAGGTGAAGGAAGGAAGGATATTGCTCCCTAGCAAGGGGAGTGTTGAGGAGGAGAACAGAGTTCCAGAGCTGAGTGGCCTTGGTCACAGGGTAGGGGTGGAGGATGAGGGGGTGGTGGTGAAGAGTGAGGTCAGAGTCGACGGTGAGGCAGGATGCCCCAGAAGGTTACTAAAGCTCTGACCAAACATGATGAGCGTCTGCTAGCAGTATTAGAGGTGTCTAGGAGGGACTAGACCTGAAGCTCTTCCTTGAGACAGAATGCTGGTGAAAGATATGACATAAAAAAGTAGGAGGGCTTAACATCTTAGCTTTGATGGCCTGAGGAATATTGTTGGTAGCTAACAATTTTAAAGCGTTTTTCTGATATTATATGTGGTTTATAAAATCCAGTAAATTATAAAGAAAACAAAAAATAGCCATTATCCCAACATATAAAAAATAACCATAGTTGACATTTCACATGCATATCTATCTACCTAAAAGATACAGTTTTTTTACTTTTTTAATTTAATTTAATTTAATTTTATTTTTTTAAAAAAGATGCAGTTTTGAAAGGTCTAAGGATTCCATTTCTATGAGGAACTCTGGTCTTATGAGCTGCTTTAATATTCTGAACTTCATTCTGAATCCAAATATTAAGTTTAAACTAAACAAACAAAAGATCAGCAGGGCACAATGGCACATGGTTGCAACCCCAGCATTCTGGGAGGCTGAGGCAGGAGGATCAAAAGTTTCAGCCCTATCTGGGCAATTTAGCCACTTACAGAGATCCTGTCAAAAAAAAAAAAAAAAAAAAAAAAAAAAAGGTGGGTAAGAGTTGAACATGTATTTCAGTAGAAGGACCTAGCTAGGTTCAATCCCTTGGATGGCCAATAAAAAACAAATAAAGAAATAAGAGGTTCATCGCTGGAACTGTCAAAGACAGATTTTTTTTCTCTAGAAAAGAAACTAAATGACGGGCAGGATGACACTGGTGACATGGCCTCATTAGTAACAGCTTCTAACCGGCAAGGTAACTGCCCAGATACTAAGGGATACAGCCAGGTTCCGTTTGATTAATTCATGTTCAATTCATTCAGAGTCCAGCCCTGCAGGAAGACAAACTCAGCAGTTATCTCCTTCTTTGTCAAAAAGTCCTAAAGGAGTACTAATTATTTCTGTCCACTTGAACCCTGAGCTTGTGTAAACTTGGGCACATACATTAACTGAGAGAAAAATTTCTGAGGTTCAGGAGCAATTGATAAAAATACCTTATCCTAGACCTTTGCAAATGAATGGACTGGAAGGAAGGTTTTTAAAATGGAAAGGTTGAGGACGATTTTATGTGGAGATGAGATCGTGAGGAATGGTAGAGGCAGGGGGACAGATGAGGCCTGCAACAACGCTCCAGGGCTAAAGCTCAAGGGAGAGGGAGAGGGTGCCAAGGAGGAACCACGCGGTTCCGGGCCGCGCGGTAGAGAGATGCGCGGGACGCAGAGCGGACGCCGGCCAGGACGGAGCCCTCCCCGGGAGCCTCCAGAGCGCGCCTGCCCCGCATCAGCGCCAGCTCTGTTCAGAGCGCCGGGTAGGGCTGGGGCAGATCTGAGAACTCCGGGAGCGTGACGACCGGTCCCGAGAGGGCGGGCGCGCGTCGCGCAGGGGCCAGGGCAGGGGTCCTGGGGTGCAGAACTGTGCTCTGGGCATCCCCGAGCCCGGCCGAGACGCAAATTTCCAGAGATCTGCCTCCCGCCTCTCGTTCTCCGCCCGCAGTCCTTCAGGCTTCGGCGGGAGCGGGGCTTGGAGCTCGCGCTGCCCCGGGACTCCGGCCCGGGCGTGCGCCTTGGCCCGGCCGGGGCGCTGCGGGACAGGGTGAGCACCCTGCTCGCCCGCGCGGGCAGTTCGCTGGGGACCGGCGGCGCAAGCAGCCCCCAAGCCCCGCTTTCCCTTCAGCGGGGCGCGGGGCGGGGTCCTGCCAGCGGGAGTTTGCGGACTCTCAGCGAGTTGGGGGCGCGCCCCGGGCCAATGAGCGCGGCCCGCCGAGGGCTCGGCTCCTCCTGCGCGCGCTGATTGGGCTCGGCCGGCGGCCACAGCGGGAGCCCGCGCGAGTGGGCGTGGCGCCC